GGATAGGGTATTCTTGACTGCTCTTTTTCCCCATTTAGCACTTTGAATATATCATGACACTCCCTTCCGGCTGGCCAAGTTTCTGTTGAGAAATCTGCAGCTGCCTTATGTGTTTTCTCTTGTATGTTAAGGACTTCTTTTCTCTTTCTGTTTTTCAGACTTTATTTTATCACTAAATTTTGCATATTTAATTACAATATATCTTTTTTTTTACATTTAAATTCAATGAATTAACATATAGTGTATTATCAGTTTCAGAGGTAGAGTTTAGTGATTCATCAGTTGCATATAACACCCAGTGCTTATTACTTCAAGTGCCCTCCTTAATGCCCATCACGCAGTTACCCCATCCCTCCACTCACCTCCCCTTTAGCAACCCTCAGTTTGTTTCCTATAGTTAAGAGTCTCTTATGGTTTGGCTCCCTCTCTGTTTTCATCTTATTTCATTTTCCCCCGCATTCTCCTATGATCCTGTCTTGTTTCTTAAGTTCCACATATGAGTGAAATCATATGATATTGTCTTTCTCTGACTTACTTTGCTTAGCATAATACCCTCTAGTTCCATCCACATCATTGCAAATGGTAAGATTTCGGAATTTTTAATGGCTGAGTAATATTCTTTTGTATATATACACTACATCTTCTTTATCCATTCATCTGCCAATGGACATCTGGGCTTTTTCCATAGTTTGGCTATTGTGGACATTGCTCGTATAAACATAGGGGTGCAGGTACCCCTTTGGATCACTATGTTTGTATCCTTTGGGTAAATACCTAGTAGTGCAATTGCTGGTTCCTAGGGTAGCTATATTTTTAACTTTTTGAGGAACCTCCATACTCTTTTCCAGAGTGACTACCAGTTTGCATTCCCACCAGCAGTGTAAGAGGGTTCCCCTTTCTCCACATCCTTGCCAACATCGTTGTTTCCTGACCTGTTAATTTTAGCCATTCTGAGTTTTATAAAGTGGTATCTTATTGTGGTTTTGATTTATGTTTCCCTCATGCTCAGTGACATGGAGCATTTTTTCATGTGTCTGTTGGTGATTTGTATGTCTTCTTTGGATAAATGTCTGTCCATGTCTTCTGCCCGTTTCTTGATTCAATTATTTGTTCTTTGGTTGTTGAGTTGATAAGTTCTTTATAGATTTTGGATACCAGCCCTTTATCTGATAACACATTTCCCAATATCTTCTCCCATTCTGTAGGTTGTCTTTTAGTTTTGTTGACTTTTTCCTTTGCTCTAAAAAAGCTTTTTATCTTGATTATGTCCCAATAGTTCATTTTTGCTTTTGTTTCCCTTGCCTTTGGAGACGTGTCTAGCAAGAAGTTACTGTGGCTGAGGTCAAAGAGGTTTCTGCTTCTGTTCTCCTCTAGGATTTTGAAGGATTCCTGTCTCACATTTAGGTCATTCATCCATTTTTGAGTTTATGTTTTGTGTATGGTGTAAGAAAATGGTCCAGTTTCATTCTTCACATGTCTGTGCAATTTTCCCAGCACCATTTATTGAAGAAACTGTCTTTTTTCCATTGGATATTCTTTCCTGCTTTTTCAAAAATTTGTTGACCCAATTACAATATGTCTTGGTATTGGTCTGCTTTTGTTTATTTTGAATGGAGTTCTCTTTGCCTCCTAGATCTGGATATCTGTTTCCTTCCCCAGATTAGGAAAGGTTTCAGCTTTTGTTTCTTCAAATAAATTTTCTGTACCCTTTTCTCTCTCTCTTTTTCTTCTTCTGGAACTCCTATAATACACATGTTATTAGGTTTAATGGACTCACTGAATTCCCTAAATCTATTCTTGTGTTACATAATTCTTCTTTCTCTCTTTTGTTCAGCTTCACTACTTACCATTACTTTGTCTTCTAGGTCACTAATGCATTTGTTCTTCCAAACTGCTGTTCATTGAATCAAGTATGTTTTCTAATATCGTTTAATGCTCTCTTCATATCTGATTGATCGTTTTTTAACTCCTTTGTCTCTGTGGTAAGGGTCTCCCTGATGTCTTCTATTCTTTTCTCAAGCCCAGTGAGTTTCATTATGATTGTTGCTTTAAATTCTCCATCAGGCATGTTACTTATATTTGTTTTGCTTAGATCTCTGGTTGTGTCCTTTTTCTTTCATTTGAGATGAATTCCTCCATCTTTGCATTTTGTCTATGTCTCTGCCTTCTCTATGTTACAAATGCCAGTTATGTTTCCTGAAAGTATTGGCCTTCTGAAGAAGAGATTATGTAGTGCCCAGGGCCTGGTTTTTCAGGGAGTATCTCAGGTATAAGCTGCTTCCACTCTGCTGTTGGGTTTTGGCTGTTCTATCCTTCAGGCCATTCATATGCAGAGGTTCTCCTTTCCTGCTCTGGGCTGTGTTTGGTCCATGGCCTGAGTTTTAACTAGATGTGCTCTGGTCTGCTTGTGAAATGATTCCTGTCACCAACTCCACGAGAACTGAGGCCGTGCAGAGCTCTCTTGGCAGAATTCGTGGTGTGGGCAGGTGCTTCTGCTGGTTTTCTATGGGAGGGCCCCACTGTGCTGGGAGTGAGGCAAGCTTGACTGAAAAGGGCAGTTGCACCAGATACAGGGATACAGGGCTTGGTGTATGCAGGTTAGGCAGCAGTGTCAGCACTGTGTTGCTTCTTGCAGATAGCTCTGTATTTATACTGAGGGGCGGAAGAGGGAAATTACACCAATCAGCTCCTTTGTTCTCAGAGAGGTGTGTGAATGCTGTTTCTCTGGGATGTACTCCAAGAAGAGCAAATAATCTCCACATTGCATGTCCCATATGCTGTTCAGATAGCTGTGTCCATACTGTCTGCACCGGGGTTGTTTGCCTGTCTTCTCTCAAGGAACAGGGCAGTGCCCTCCTGCCTCCATTCCAGTCAAGCAAGCTGTTCTTTAGAGGTCTAGGTTTTAAGCCTCTCTGGTTGCAAGAACTCACAAAATTCATCCTGTCTTATTTTCTAAGCCAGTGGTTTTTGGGAAACATTCTCATTGTGTGTTCCCCCTTTGAGCACCTCTCTCTCTCTCTCCCCTCTCCATGACCATGACTCCCTCCCCTCTCCAGCACCTGCAGTCCATTTCTCCCCAAACCAGGTCTCCATACTTCCTACCTTCTTCAATGAGGCCTCTTCTGTACCTTTAGTTTTGGAGTTTGTTCTGTCAGTCTTCAGATCTATTTCTGGGATATTTAGGATGATTTGATAGTTATCTAGTTGTGGTTTTGGGACCATGAAAGCCTAGGGTCATCCTACTTTGCTGCCATTTTCCTCTAAGGGGAGTAATTTTTAATTAATCTTAGAAGACTTTATAAGATGTGGGGCACCTGGATGGCTCAGTCGGTTAAGCATTTGACTCTTGAATTTGGCTCAGGTCATGATCTCAATGTTGTGAGCTTGAACCCCATGTTGGGCTCTACACTCAGCAAGGACTCTCCTTTGAGATTCTCTCTCCCTCTGCCCACTCCCCCTGCTCTCTCTCTCTCTCTCTCTCAAATAAATAAATAAATCTTTACAAAAAGAACACTTTACAAAACAACACAAGGATCTGTATATTCTTTGATCTGATGAGATGCCTCTGTATAAGACCATATTTGTCTTGGTGGAATCACTAAACTTAGCATATGCTTATATTGCTTCAAGACTGGTTTGTAGTAGGTAATGACAGTTGTTCAGGTAATGGAGAAGGTATATAAGTGAATTAGTCAGTGAAATACATAAATAATGTTTTTAAAGAACTCATAAAACTCATATTTTTTATAAAATCAGCTCTTAATGACAATATTACTTTTTACTTTAAATGTTAAGCCCTTAGTATTTTGCCTGGAATGGCCATTTTGAATGGAGATCCACAGATGGAGATCCATCCATTTGAATGGAGATCCCACAGATCACTGCCTTTGAAAATGCTCATTTGCCAAAGTCTAACTTAAATGGCAACTTCTCCTGGATGTTATTCCTGCTTTCCATTTGCCTGCCATTCTTTCCTCCTGAGCTTTCACACCTAAATTATTTATCTCTTATGGTACTTAGTATATTCCGCCTTATGTTGTACTCACGTGTCTGCCCATATCCTTGAGGGAAAGGATTTTATTTTGATATGTTAACCACGGCACCTAGTGCCTCGTACACACGTGTTCAATCAGTATTTGTTGAGTACAGGAATAAATATATAATAAATGATAACTGAATAACATCTTTATTATTGATATTTTTACCCTTATAATTATGTTTATATACTAGTATTTAAATCTTTTTAGTGTTCTACTTGTATTTTTAGGTATTAAAAATTCTGACTTAGAAACTGTTGATTGGTAGAGTATGTCAGTGTATTTTTTAAATCTCAGTATGTTTTTTTTAATGTTACTTTTTAAGAATTTTATTATCTCTACTACCACTTCAAAATTATTGAGAACAAGAAACTTTTTTTTTAATGAATCAGAATATGGTGGTGAATGCTGTCCTAAGGAGGTGAAGGGTGTTAACTAAGCACTTGAATTCATTTTCTTTCCATACTTTGCCAGTTCTGTTGTTAATTCTTGCAAAATAAAATTTCTAATCCATTTGGAAATTACTCTATTTAGTAACCTGGGGTTAGAATTACATATTATATATATATATATTCATATACACACACACAAAATGTGTAGGCTATTAGAATTTGATATTTAGAATGCTAATTACAGCTTGAAATATACTACTTTAAAATATGACCAGTTTTGTGTACATTTGTCATTGATCCCTGTTTCTTCAGAAATTTATGAAGCAGCTATGGGGAAAAGGATTTGTGTACAGTATGTGTTTATATTATACAGTATCTAGTGTGGGGCAACACAGTTATGAATACTGAATGAACATTATTTGATGGTGACAAATACCTTTATTGTACATTATTTTAAATTATAATTATGTTTGTTTTAAACAGAAGAAGACATTTGTAGGAGGATATATTGGGATATGTAGAATTGTTAAATAGGGTGCTGCTGTTTAATACCTTATGTTTTTTGTTTTAGCTTATCTATTTCAGGCAAGGACATGAAGCTTATGTGCGGGCTGTAAGAAAGTCAAAAATATACAGCCTTAATTTACAAAAACAGCCATGGAATAAAATGGATCTCAGGGTAAATTTGACATTTTCATAAGTGTGCAATTGAAATAGCTTTGAAATTAAGTTATTTGCTTTTATGTTTTTTTCTGTTTCATACATATTTCACTGTTGATTGTGTATCTAAGATAAGATGATGCACCATACTCTTGTACAATTGAGTGTTATGGGTCATATTTTATGTTTCCTGAAATTTGTACGCTACCTGTTGTCTTGATTATTTGACTTAATTTCCTTCAAGCTTCAAGTCGTCTAGTGTATATACCTTTCTATATTTGGAGCAAAATGGTAGTTCCCTGGTGTGGACATTTCCCTCAGCAGTTTTGTACATTCTGGAAGCTCTATAAATTGCGTGTGTGTACAGACACTCTTGAGGTTCTGGTGACTTTAAGATATAGTAGATATCATAAATCCCAAGAGACTCAGAACTTTGCGGTGCTTTATGGATTAACATGGTATTAAGTAAAATAGATATGTTTATTTTTTAGAGGAGTTTTTTTCTGACTGTAAATACATATTCATTCATTCATTTATACATACATAGATACATACAAACAAACAGATATAAGGATACATACACCATCATTTCTAGTTAGGTTTATGGGTGTTTTCTTCTTTTATTTTTCCAAGTTGGAGAACAAGAGACTAAAGAGAATTTTACAGTGGTTTCCAGGTAAATGAAGGATTGTTGTATGTTGATGTTTAGCAGGAAGGATACATGAAAGCATGTATATGTATTGAAATAAAGATTTAGACACTTGTAAAATATATTAAGGTTGTAAGCTACCAAAGTATCTTATCTGGCGAGCTTTACACAGTCATCTCCTGGTAGATAATGATGCTACCATCTATTCTGAATCAGGTGAAAGTTGAGTTGTAAGGTTTTTTACTTTTTTATTTTTATTATTTTTTTTGAGAATTAAGGAATGAATAAAACATATGATTTTTTATTTTTTAAATTCTAACCCTGTGGCTCTAGGAAACTGCAAGAGGCAGCATATGTGTGGGTGCAAGAGTCTGGGTTTTGGAATATGACCTGAATTTTAATCCAGATCTAATATATATACACACACCCAAGTGTATAACTTTAAGCAAGTCACTATAGCCACGAGGCTCAGTTTTGTCATCTGTTGTGTTACTAATAATCAATTATAAGGGTGGTTTGTAAAATAATATGTGGGCATTAAAAAAAATGTAAGTCCTTTCCCCAAATATATACATGCATGTCTACCTGCATACTTACATACTGTATTTCTGCTGGAAGAGTGATTCTTAACTAGGCAGAGCATCATAATCCCCTTGGGAGTTCTTTCAAAATACATATGACTAAGCTTGTACCCTAGACCTACTGAATTCAATTTTATAGGAGTAGGGTTTAAGAATATGAATTTTAAAAATGTTCTCAAGGGGCTTCTGTTGCTTATCCTTGGTTTAGAGCCCTGCAATATACTACAGCCTGCTTTTAAGGGTCAAGAACCATGTCTTACTGCCATTAGCACTTGGTGGAATGCTTAATACTTGGTGGATATTCAGATAATTTTTAATTGTTCGAAAAATAGTGAAATACTATGCAAATGTTAGGCAATTACTTATATTGAAAGTAATAATTTATTGGTATTCTCATGAATAGGAACAAGAATTTGTTAAGATTGTAGGAATCAAATATGAGATTGGACCACCTACACTATGTTGCTTGAAGCTTGCATTTCTGGACCCCATTTCAGGCAAAATGACTGGAGAATCTTTTTCCATTAAGTGAGTAGCTATCTCTGGTTGTGTGTGTGTGTGTCTGTGTGTTTTAATCCCTGTCATGTGTTCTGCAGAGTACAGGGCTTAATGGGAGAGACAATACTATAGTACCATAGGCTTTAGAGTTTTAAAGACCTGATGAGCACGGAGTGTTATATGCAATTAATGAATCATTGAACACTACACCAAAAACTAATGATATACTATATGTTGGCTAATTGAATTTAAATTAAAAAATAAATAAAGACCGGGATTTAATGTTTAATTTTTGGTCTGTTTCTCCACATAATAGTGTGTGTGTGTGTTTGTGTGTGTATAAAAACTTGCATGAGCATGCATGTGTGTGTAGCTAATATATATGTAATGTAATGTGTGTGTGTGTGTGTGTGTGTGTGTGTATACAGTTGACCCTTGAACAATGTAGGAGGTTATGGGCAGTGACCCCCACACAGTTGAAAATCTGCATATAGCTTTTGACTCCTGAAAAACTTAACTAATAGCCTGCTGTTGAGCAGAAGCCTTACTGATAACATACTTAACTAATAGCCTGCTGTTGAGCAGAAGCCTTACTGATAACATGAAGTTTTGACTAATATGTATTTTGTATGTTTTATGTGTTATATTTAGTATTCTTACAATAAAGTAAGCTAGAGAAAATAAACATTGGTAAGAAAATCATAAGGGGCGGGTACCTGGGTGGCTCAGTTGGTTAAGTGACTGCCTTCGGCTCGGATCATGATCCTGGAGTCCCAGGATCAAGACCCACATCGGGCTCCCTGCTCAGCAGGGAGTCTGTTTCTCCCTCTGACCCTCTCCCCCCTCATGCTCTCTCTCTATCTCATTCTCTCTCTCAAATAAATAAATAAAATCTTTAAAAAAAAAAGAAAGAAAATCATAAGGGGGAGAAAATACATTTACAGTACTATATTTATTGAAAAAAATCTGCATATAAGTGGACCCGCACAGTTCAAATCAATATTGTTCAATTGGACATATATACATATATATATCCATGAGCAAGTTACTTAACCTCTCTGAATTTATGCCTTCACCTGCAAAATGTAAATGTTAATAACTTCTCAAGATTGTTGTGATGAATTAAAAGAAAAACCTTTATAAATGCCTGTGGTTGAAACATGGTAGTTGCTTTTATTTCTGTTAATAATAATAGGAATAGCTAATCAGTGGTTCATTTCTTAAAGTTTGAAATCTAAGGAGATGAAAGAACATGAATTCATACTTTTCTTAAAGAGGACTTAATATAAAATACCTTATACTAAGTTTTAAGGATCTTCATTGGTGTCTTTATGTTTTTGAAGTGATATAGTAGTAGGCAGGGAACTCCCAAACAAATAAAAGCAGATGGAGTTTAATTAAAGCCATTTGCAGGAACCTTGAGACTTGCAATGGTTTTTAAATGGCTCCACGTTAAACATATATCTCTAGATATTTAGTAAGTAACAAAAGCTCCTATATTTGTATATTGATTTATATGTGCTTTGTTTTTTGTACAGGTATCATGACATGCCAGATGTCATTGACTTCCTTGTGCTACATCAGTTTTATAATGAAGCCAAAGAAAGGAACTGGCAGATAGGTAAGTATAAAATTCTCACTTAATAACTATTAAGTTTGAAATAGAGTAACTTTTTAAGTCCAATTTAATAGACATAAACTAGTTTAACATGTAGTTGGTAAAAGCTGTTAGCCAAATTAGAGAGATCAAATTAAATTTTCCTTCTCAGTTGTGTTTGGGTGATTTTTTTATGCACATCGTATGTGGCATATAACCTCTAAACTTTCTGCAAATACCTAAGCTGTTAGAATACAAATGTGAATTACAAAGAAAATCATCAAATGTCAGTTGCCCTAATATAAAATACTTAACACTTGGGCTCTTAAGCAGACCATTACTGATTGTGGTTTTCTTTCTTTCTCTTTTTCTCCCTCTTTGTCTGTCTGTCACTCTTGTCTTTCTCTGTCTGTCTCTGTTTCTCTCTGTACCTCTACCTCTTTCTACCCCTTTTCTCTTCCTCTCTTCTGCCCTCCCTCCTCTCTCCCTTCCTTACCTCCTCACTAGCTATTTGATCTTGGGCAAGTTTTTCATCTCTCTGTGTCCCACTTCCATTATCTGTATAATGGGAATCATAACAAAACATACCTATAAGGTTGATGTGAGCAATAAATGAGTTTATATATAGGAAACACTTAAAATGGTACCTAAGTACTTAAAATTTATACTATGTAAATGTTTGTTATTAGTACTTTTAAATTCTCCTTTTTTATGGGGGAGAAAATTTTTGTTCACAGTGGTTTGGTTTTATAATCTTTATCCCTTAAGAGGCAGAAAATTAGTATGAAGAGATTTTTAAAGGCAAAAAGCTGTAAGTGAAAAAGAAAAGGAAAAGAAACAACTGTAGTAACATGTATAGTACAAGAAAAAGTATGCCTAATGATGATCCTAAATAATTGATAAAAGATTATATGTGGTAGCATTTATTTAAGAAGACGTGGACATATCTGATTTATTTCAGAAAGATTACTAGTACTTAGAAATCAAAATCCTTAATGAAGGTAAAATGTAAAATTTACTCATCTGGGAAACTCAGATTGAAACCTCTAATAATGATAGATACAATGCTACTTCTGTGTCCAACACAAAGTAGCAATTTAGAATGTGAACAAAGCTATTATTCTCAAAAACATCCTTTTAAGAATTTCTAAAAATATTATAGGTGATAGATTCCGCAGTATAATAGATGACGCCTGGTGGTTTGGAACTGTGGAGAGTCAGCAGCCTTTTCAACCAGAGTATCCTGATAGTTCTTTCCAGTGTTACAGTGTTCAGTAAGTACAGTTACGGTATTTTATGCCTGACATAATACTGTAGTACTATATGGACTTTCTATAAACCATATTAGGAATAATCCCTTGTTAATATGACTTATCTTTATCTGACCTGTAAGGAAGTAATCATAGTACCTCTAAGGAAGGAATGTGATGATAAACCTCTTGGGTCCAGTATGCATGCTAAAACAAAGCAGTAACTGAAGACTTATTTCTACCTCCCTTATGCCTGTATTTTCTTTTAAATATTTCTGTTTTAAACAAGAATTACAACTATTATTTCACGAAGAATACTGAAATTAATTCAGTGTTTAAAGTAATTGTTATAGCCGGAACATAGCAACAAATATTAGTAACCAGTCCTTTATTTAATGGTATGAATTCTAGGCAGAGGTATTATGTTTGGACGTACTATTTGTCTACAACATTTACTTTAGTTCATTAAATACCAGCATTGTAAGATTCCTAATAAATGAAGTTCTCTTCTCAAGAATGATAAAGGTTTATTCTGTGAAGATTGACTTTTAGTCTCCATATTGCTGATGAAAAGGGAATAATAAAATTTTGGAGATGCTGTAATACTTAGACTGTAGGATAAAGTAGATTATCCTACAGAAAGAATTGATCTATCAAACTGACTTTTTTAACCTGAAAAGAATTTTCCAAAGAGATCTTTATTCATTCTGTATCCTGGCTTAATATTGAATACATGCTGGATTGGAATTAAAAAAAAAAAAAGCCAAGTAAAACTAAGTGTAAGCTTACTGCTCTCTATATTTCATATTGGTGGACTATTCTCTATTTTTCTTTAATTTTCTTTGTTTTCTCTATTAAAGGTTTATTATTATCTTTATGTAAGTGAAATTGTACTTTAAGGAAAATTGGATTGCTGTTTCCAAATTTTACCCCAAGAAGTCATGCAAATTATGCTAATATATAAAAGTGTCATGTGAATTTGATTAGTATCTTGTTATTTTTTAATAGCTGGGACAATAATGAGAGAGAAAAGATGAGCCCCTGGGATATGGAGCCAATTCCAGAAGGAAGTAAATATGCTTTTAAAAATGAATTATAATTCTTCTAAAAGAAAAATGTCAGTAGCATAATATTGGAAACTAATGATTTCTGATTTTTCATCTTATACATAGCTGCCTTTCCAGATGAAGTTGGTGCTGGTGTTCCTGTGTCCCAGGAGGAACTGACTGCTTTGCTATACAAACCCCAGGAAGGAGAGTGGGGGGCTCATTCCAGAGATGAGGAATGTGAACGGGTTATTCAGGGCATCAACCACCTTCTTTCCCTGGGTACGGTCGATGTGAAGGAATATTAGGAAGGAAGAAGGAAAACCAGCAAAATTTTAAGTTCTACAGAAGGAAATATATTTTTTCACTGTATACTTTTAACTTAAGAGGCACTTTTAATTAAGTGATTCTAGTTTAACATTAATATTTTGATATGTTTGGCCAATGTAATGACAGATAAATGCTTTCTATTCTCTGGGGGCTTACAATAGTGAAAGCAGGCATATAATTGTCTTTTACTTTCTGGAGTCACTTTGGCTCTCCGGGTATTTCCTGAGCCTGACTTTGGATGAGTTTTTTGGTAGACAGTAGGTGAGTAATATATTTTACTCACATGCCTAAGCTATATTATCTAAACTGTTTCACTTGAGCTGTTTGGCATTTATCTAGAAAAGACATCAGTTTGAAGTTAAACCCGGTTGTCTTTTAATTTTTCTCATTTTACCTGGTTTGAACCAGTGTGTCATGCTTGATTCATAGGTATTATGTCCAAATAAAGAGAATGACATTTTAACAGTATTTGCCTAATATTTGCATAATTGAATCATTATCATTTTAGTAATGTAGTATATTGCCCTCCCTTCTTATTTATATATGAGTTTTTGTTAAGGTGAAATATTAATGTCTTTTATAACTACCTTTTTGTATTTTGGTAATATTATAGATTTTGCCAGCCCTTTTGCTGTTCCAGTGGATCTCAGTGCCTATCCCTTGTATTGTACTGTAGTTGCTTATCCAACTGACCTCAACACCATTAGGCGGAGACTTGAAAATCGCTTTTACAGGTCTGTTTAGTTTTATAATTTACTATAAAGTTCATAGCTTTACATCTTTTGTTTTCCTTTTTGTATAATGACACAGTGAGATCTGTATTTTCATAGTGTAAAATAATCATTCAATATACCCACTCCAAAATTTCTTGTAAAAATTTGGAACTCTAGGGTGCCTGGGTGGCTCAGATGGTTAAGTGTCTGCCTTCGGCTCAGGTCATGATCCCAGGGTCCTGGGATCGAGTCCCGCATCGGGCTCCCTGTTCCTTGGGAGCCTGCTTCTCCCTCTGCTTGTCTCTCTCTCTCTCTCTCTCTCCCTCTGTCTCTCATGAATAAATAAATAAAATCTTTAAAAAAAATTTTGGAACACTAATTTCCCTTTTTTCAATAGATTCTCAGTCTTCCAGGGAAAGAAGGAGTATGGAATAGAGGACAGGGAAGAAATTTTGAGTAGCACAAATCACATGTGAAACAAAAACTACAGTTAACTTTAGTTTAATTAAAGGCAGATTAAATAGTTTGTGAATTCATCATAATTAAGGCGCTATAGAAACTTGGAGCATGATTAAATCCCCTGTTGAGGAATTAGGCAGCAGTTAGATTTAATTACCAGCCCCAAAATGTGTTTAGATAAAGAGCCAAGTTATTTTTTTTCTTGGTTTCTTTTGGGAGTAGGGTAATTATGAGAGAGTGGTAGAGGGTAGCTTTTGGTACCTCTCTCACCCCAAAGCCTACTGTGTCCTAACTATAGTTATTCCAACATGAACTGGTTGTAAATATAACCAGTTGGGGGTATTTTATAACATTACCTATAATTTCATTTAATAATATATATCATAGGGCACCTGGGTGGCTCAGATGGTTGAGTGTCTGCCTTCGGCTCAGGTCATGGTCCCAGGGTCCTGGGATCAAGTCCCGCATCGGGCTCCCTGCTCCTTGGGAGCCTGCTTCTCCCTCTGCTTCTCTCTCTCTCTCTCTCCCTCTGTCTCTCATGAATAAATAAATAAAATCTTTAAAAAAAATAATATATATCATAAAATAACTAGATAAAAATCTGTTTTTTTCTAAAACCTGGTTTCTTTTTTTTCTTGATCTTCTCATTTCTTCCCCTGAAAACTAAACATTCTTTTGACTTTATCAAAACACTGTTTGTTTATGTTTATACTTATTTGGTTAAATCACTATTTACCCACAATGTCCTGGGTCAGTTCTTTTTAATATGAAGTCCAATGGTTCTTAATTCTTACCTGTGCTTCAAATACTGTAACTATATACCTTTATTAGTGCACATTTGTTATACACATATATTAAGTCACATACAGATAGTAGAACACCTTTGACATACCATGATTGAGTGCCTAGTTGTTCTATGTTGTATATTCCTAGAATATACTTTAAATCATCAACCAAGAGTAACAGGGTATGTTTTTCTTTCGTAGGAGAATATCAGCATTAATGTGGGAGGTGCGCTACATTGAGCATAATGCCAGGACTTTCAATGAGCCAGACAGTCCTATAGTTAAAGCAGCCAAAATTGTAACTGATGTCTTACTTCGATTTATTGGGTAAGAAGCAGCTTTATCTTCCACAAGAGCTGATTTCCGATTTAAAAAATATATATATTGAAATGTTTTTTGACTTTCTTGTTTCTTAGGGATCAGAGCTGTACTGATATACTGGATACTTATAATAAAGTTAAAGCCGAAGAACTAAACAGTACTGATGCAGAGGAGGTGAGAATCACAGCATGATTAATAGGCATGAATTCCTTTTCTGTTTTTTGAAGTACAGTAAGTATTGTGTGTATTATAACTGGCTATAAGCATTGAAACTGATTTTTAAAACCTGGCTGAGCACCTGCATCTTTTTATATTAAACTCTTTAACCTGTATTTAGATGGTATATACTAGAAATATAGTGGTGCTACAATTTTTAATCAGAGACAGGTAGGCAGTTATCCTGTTTGACTCAATGGGTTTCAGTGATGAGAAATCAACACTTCATTTTCCAGCCTTAAAAACAAGACAAAGCACTAAATATTTTAAAAAGAATGGTTAGTTTTTAGAAATTTTAATAGGGATTAATTTTCTATGCAATATGTGCAAAATATTAAAGTATTTTAAAGTTTCAGGTTTCAAAGTACATTTTTAGTAGTTTCATGGAATTGCTATTTAATTTCCTTTTTATGGGAATTTACAAACATAAGCCAGTTTTTCTTAATGAAATCAAATTAGTATTATCAGCAGACCTGCACATATCTAATTTCCCCACCTAGCCATATTCCCATTTTACATAAAACCATTTTTTATTGAAAGCTATGATAGAAGCAAAAACCAAGAAGAGGATGAAACAGTAATGGAATGTGATAATTCAAAAATCTTTACTGGAAAACAATTCTCCCCAAGGATGAGTGATTCAAACATGCTAGATTCTATTTTAATGACTATTGTATAGAGATATTTTACATGTTTATATTGTCTGTACTGTTAATATCTAGAACAGTAAATCCCCAATTTTTTTTCTCTTTAATTGACATAACATTAGTTTTAGAGGTATAACAAATGAATCTATATTTGTATATATTAGGAAAGAATCACCAAAATAAAACTAGTCACCATATATAGTTACAGTTTTTCTCATGTGATAATAATTTTAAAATTTACTTTCATATATTCAAGACAGTATTAAACTATAGCCACTATGTTGTACATTATATCCCCAAGACTCATTTATTTTATAACTGAAGCTTGTACCTTTTAACCCACTACATGTATTTTGGCACCCCCACTCTAGTCCTCCCCATCTCTGGCAACTACCAAACTGTTTTGTGTATCTATAAATTATTTTTTGTAGATTCCACATATAAATGAGATTATAGATGCTATTCTCTGACATATTTCACTAAGCATAATGTTCTCAAGGTCCATCTATTTTTGTCCCAAATGGAACGTTTCCTTTTTATGGCTGAATAATATACCATTAGGTATATATTACCATTTTTTCTTTATCCATTTACCCATTAGTGGAAACTTAACATTGTTTCTATATGTTGGCTATTGTAAATAATCCTGCAATGAATATGGGAATACATACATATATCTTTTAGAGTAGTGTTTTCATTTTCTTTGGAAAACCCAGGAATGGAATTCCTAGATCATAAGGTAGTTCTTTTTTTTTAAATAATTTTTTATTGTTATGTTAATCACCATACATCATTAGTTTTTGATGTAGTGTTCAAGGTAGTTCTTTTTTTTTTTAATTTTTTGAGGAACCTCCATACTGTTTTCCATAGGTTACTCCAATTTACATTTCCACCAATAGTGCACAAATGTTCCCTTCCTCCAAATCCTAACCAACACTTGTTATTTCTTGTTTTTTTGATAACAGCCATTCTAACAAGTGTGAGGTGATATCTCATTGTGGTTTTGATTTGCATTTCCCTGATGGGTATTGATGTTGAGCACCTTTTCATGTACCGGTCAGTCTATATCTTCTTTGGAAAAATGTCTGTTTAGTTTCTCTGCCCATTTTGTTTGTTTTTGTTTATTTGTTTTTTAATTCTTTTATTTGAGTATAGTTGACACACAATGTTAAATTAGTTTCAGGTGTACAACATAGTCATTCAGCTTCTTTACATGTTATGCAATGCTCACCACAAGTGTAGCTACCATCTGTCATTATACAACACTATTATATTATTGATTGTATTCCTTATGCTGTGCCTTTTATTCCTGTGATTTATTCATTCCATAACTAGAAACCTGTATCTCCCACTCCCTTTCACACATTTTGCTCATCAACTCCATCCCCTTCCCTCTGACAACATTAGTTTGTTCTCTGTCCCAGTGTTGTTTTTTACTCTTTCCTGAAAATGTATCTGACTGTATAACATTGTATTATCAGAGTTAAATGTTATTGATATAATAAGGAAAACTCAGATATTTCAATTAGATATTATCCTCCTGAAACTAATGAAAAATTTATCATTCTTATTTCTGATAATTTCTCTGACCTTTCATATAAATGCATTTTGACTCAGGATTTGATATAGCAAGAATTACTCCTCAGAGTAGCACTACTTGTGTTAAAATGGAAAATTAAAAGTAAAATGTAATTCAACAACTTTATCTTTTTTTGTTGGTGAGAACATTTAAGTTCTACTCTCTTAGCAAATTTCAATTATACAATACAGTGTTATCAGTTATAGTCATCATGTTTTACATGAGATCCTTAGATCCTCAGACCTTATTCATTTTGCTGAAAATTTGCTTTTACCAATCTCTCCTTACTTCTCTCATCACCCAGGCCCTGGCAACAACTTTTCTATTCTGTTTCTATGAGTTTGATTTTTTTTCTAAAGGTACCATGTATAAGTGATACCATGTAGTATTTGTTTTGTTTTTTTTTCTGGCTTATTTCACTTAGCATAATGCCCTCAGGATCCACCCACATTGTCACAAATGACAAGTTTACTTTTTTTTCTCAAGACTGAATAATATTCTATTGTGTGTATATATATGCATATATATATATATATCATCTTCTTTATCCATCTATCTGTTGAGGACACTTAGGTTGTTTCCATATCTTGGCTATTGTGAATAATGCTGCAGTGAATATGTAAGTGCACCTTTCTCTCTTTGATATCCTGTTTTCATTGCCTTTGGATAAATATCCAGAAGTAGGATTGCAGGCTCATATGATAGTTCTATCTTTACTTTTTTGAGGAAACTCCATACTGTTTTGTATAGTGGCTATACCAGTTTACATTCCCACCAACAGTGCTCAAGGGTTCCTTTTTCTCCATATCTTTATGAACAATTATTATCCCTTGTCTTCTTGATGATATTCATTCTAACAGATGTGAGATGATATCTCATTGTGATTTTGATTTGCATTTCCTTGATGATTAGTGGTATTGAATACTTTTTCATGTACTTCTTGACCATTTGGAAGTCTTTATAAAAATGTCTATTCAATTCCAATGCCCATTTTTATTTTTATTTTTTTAAGATTATTTATTTATTTGAAAGAGAGAGCACAAGCAGAGGGAGCAGCAGAGGGAGAGGGAGAAGCAGACTTCCCACCGAGCAGGGAGCCTGATGTGGGGCTTGATCTCAGGACCCTGATCATGACCTGAGCCAAAGGCAGCTGCTTAACTGACTGAACCACCCAGGCGCCCCCAATGCCCATTTTTAAATTGGATCTTATTTTTATTATTGAGTTGTATGATATTTTTATATATTTTGGCCTTATCAGATACAAGATTGGCAAATACTTTCTCCCATTCTGTAGGTTGCCTTTTCATTTTGTTGATGGTTTCCTTTGCTGTGCAGAAGCTTTGTAGTTTGATACAGTCCAGTTGTTTACTTCTGCTTTTGTTGTTTTTTGTTGCCATTGGATTTTGTCAAATCCAAAAAACTTCGTTGCCAAGACCACTGTTTGTAATCCTTGTATTTTTTTCCCCCCTAGGGGTTTTATGGTTTCATGACTTACATCCAAGTCCTTAATCCATTTTGAGTTGAGTTTAATATATGGTATAAGATATGGGTCAAGTTTCATTCTTTTGCATGTGAATATCCAGTTCTCTCAGCACCACATATTGAAGAGACTATCCTTTCCCAATTGTATATTCTTGGCTCCTTTGTTGTAAATTAATTGACCATACATATGTGGGTTTATTTCTGGGCTCTATTCTGTTCCATTGATCTGTATATCTTTTTCTTTTAATGCCAATACCATCCTGTTTTTGTTACTATAGCTTTGTAATATAGCTTGAAATCAGGAAGTGTGAGGCCTCCAGCTTTGTCTTTCTTTCTCAAGATTGTGTTGTCTATTAAGAGCCTTTTTTGTGGTTCCATACAAATTTTAAGATTGTTTGTTTCTATTTCTGTGAAAAATGCTCTTGGAATTTTGATAGGGATTGCATGTAATCTGTAGATGGCTTTGAGCCATATGGGCATTTTAATAATATTAATTTCTTCCAATTCATTACCACAGAGTATCTTTATTTATTTGTGTCCAATTTTTCATCAATGCTTTATGGTTTTTAGTGTGCAGATCATTCATCTCCTTGGTTAAATTTATACCTCAGTATTTTATCTCTTTTGATGCAGTTACAAATGAGATTGTTTTCTTAATTTGGCTTTCTAAGAGTCCTCAGTGTATAGAAATGGAACTTATTTTTGTATATTTATTTAGCATCCTGCAACTGTACTGAATTCATTTATTAGTTCTAACAGTTTTTCAGTGGAGTCTTTAGGGTTTTATATATGTAGTATCATGTCATCTGCTAATAGACATAGTTTTACTTCTTTTATGATTTGGATGTATTTTTTTTTCCTGCCTGATTTCTGTGGCAAGGGCTTCCAAAACTATCTCAAATAGAAATGGCTAGAGTGGGTATCCTTGTCTTGTTCCTGATCTGAGAAGAAAAGCTTTTAGTTTTTCACCACTGATCATGATGCTAATTATGGGATTGTCATTTATGGCCTTTATTATGTTGAAGTATGTTCCCTCTACACCTAGTGTATTGAGAATTTTTATGTTGAATGGGTGTTGCTGTCCTCTGAGTAGCATTCTTTGTGTTAAAATAGAAAATTAAAATAAAATACAATTCAAATTTATTTTATTAGAAAGGAGTACCAGTAGCTCATGAGCTGCTTTTATTTTCTCCTAGGCATTACCTATGTGCTTTACCACCACCAGCTGAATAATGGTGTGTGGGCCTTGCCTCTTTGTATTAAAAAACTATTGCTCAGAGGGATACTTAACTGAATCTTAAGTTTTAATACACATTCATATTTCCCTATAGAAAATAGATGTATTTCTTGAAATAGTAAAAGATTAATCATGAGTAATTCATGATTATAATATATTAAAGTAGCATGTCATATAGAATAAGTTTTTTTTAAATATTAACATTAGGTATAACTTTAGATACTAGTCACTATACTTTTTTCTTCATTTCCTGTGGTGATTTAAAGAGAAACCTTGTTTACTCTTCCTCTCCCAATATATTTTTCAGTTTGTATCTAGCATATAGGCAAAGTTTGGAGTAATTGTTCCTTCAAACTTTGTTCTGCCTGCTGCCTGCTCCAATGAGGGAGTTAATTGTGATTGTATTTGCTATTTCTTTGTAAATGTTTATCAAATTTGTGAGACTTCGAATATAACTTAACATCTTTTATCGCTCTTCCCTTTTAATTTTAGGATACAGAATTGGTTGATTTAGATTCAGATGGTCCTGGTACTTCATCTGGAAGAAGGGTGAGTGAATAAAATAACCTGCTGAGAAGAAAAAATTTCAGGCTTCCTGTGTCAGGGATCCCCAAGACCAACTCCACCGTTTGGAGAATTGCTATAAATAAAGACTCATAGAACTCAGTATATATACTTGTGATTCATTGCTAAGGTTTATTACAGTGACATAATAAGGATATACAGCTGGATCACAGGGAAATAAACACAGGCAGAGTCTGGAGGAATCCATGTGTAGGCTTCTTTATGCTTTCTCCCTTCTTTGAGGGGCCATACAGAGCACACTGTTCTCCTACAATGAAAATTTAGCAATATATATGTGATTAGAGACTCAGACCCCAAGGAATTTATTGGGAACTGATTATATAGACACCATCTGACTAGCACATGCCAAGATTCCAGACTCCCAGAAAGCAAGAAAGCATAGGAAAAGTACAGGAAAACATGTGTTCAGTACAGATCACATTGTTTATACAGTATAGGCACAGCAAACCACCTATAGTATTTAGGAAATGGTTCAAGTGCCAAGTATCCAGAATGCCAACCAAAGGCCAACCTTACAAGCAAGCCCTGGTAAAGATGCCAGCCTCAGATCTGTTATGTTAACTCTGTTCTGTACACTTTCTCTCCATGGTAATTAGACAAATACTTGTTTTATATAAGGAAAATTTTCTTTGAAATACTGAAAGAAATGATACAAAAAGGCATCAAATGGTAAAGGCTAGAATGTACCATGACAACAAAGGATATACGTATATATACACAACAGAGGAGATATATATATATATATATATATATACACACAACAAAGATATATATATACACATATACACACAAATACATAATATATAAATATATAGATAAATATGTATTAATATATATTTGAGTTTTGAGAAAATTATAATGCCATTGTCAAGTATATTTAACTACCAGCAAATATTAAGGCATTAAGATTATTAACCTGTAGAGAAAAAAAAATGTTCCTCTGTGTTTTATTGGTGGTTCAGATTTTCTTAAAATGAAAATTTGTCAGGGAGAATGATGTCTAAACTAAGAAACTTAAATAGGACCTCCTCTATGTTACATAGATATATTAGCATAGGAAAACAGGAGAAAAATCAATGAATAGTTAAGGAAAGAGCTTTTATGTATAATTCTATTAAAATCTACAGGTCAAATGCCGAGGCAGAAGACAGTCTTTAAAGTGTAATCCTGATGCTTGGAGAAAACAATGCAAAGAACTGTTGAGCCTCATTTATGAACGTGAAGACTCAGAGCCATTTCGACAGCCAGCTGATCATCTTTCTTATCCAGTAAACATACACATGTTTAAATAATTGCCAATATATAATTTCCCACAAATGTACATGCTAAAATCTAGTTAAGAGCTACTTTTCCCCTTTTTTCCTTTCTTCCTTCTTTCCTTCCTCTCTTCCTTCATCCCTCCCTCCCTCCTTCCTTCCTCTTCCTTCCTTTCTTGTATATCTTTTAATTGTGAAAGTGGGTAGAGTGATTAATCATGACTTTGAAATACAGTCATGTACTTTGTGTATAAATTATATAGTTGTGAACCAAATTTGAATCTAAATATCTTTGCAATTCCTTCCTGCTTTCATTTTGGATATTTGTTTAATAAGTTTTGCTAACTTCTAATACATTTTTACTCACTGGAGACCCCTGGTAACATATGTCAGCCCTGTTTAATTTATACTAAATGTGTTATCCAATATGATCACTTAGAGTAATCAATGTATGCCATATTACTTTTCATAAAAGATAAAAACATGAGAACTTAGATTATAGCATTCTTTTTTTAGGAGTGTATCTATTTGTGTGTTGAATAACCATTTAGTGTAGATAGCAAATCTGTCTTAACTTTTTCAGAGGAAAGTTATAGCAGTATTTCAGAAATGCATCAGACCATCCTCTAAAATTAGTAAACATAAATATTTTCTAAATACACAGGTTTTAGTTGGGAAAAATATTGAAATAAAAAACAGAATTATGTTCAACAAAGCTCATTTTGTTTGTAGGGAGTTTGAGTAGAATAAATTAGTCTTGTGTTTCTCATAGTAGAGGACAATGGTGAATGTAGAATTCCTTCATCTTAAAGTACAGTCAGTAAAAACCTAATTCCTATTTATGGAACTTAAAGCTTTTAAAATCATAATTGCATTGCAAATCTTGATATTTTGTTGTAGTAGTCTGGAAATACAATATATCCTCTTTACCCTAATAGGGCCATCAAGAGCAAGAGGGAGAATCCTCAGAGTCAGTTGTCCCAGAAAGACAAGATCCATCTCTTTCTGAGGTAGACCTAGTATTCTCTTAAAAGACATACACTGGTTGTTTTTGCAGTGTTTTACTTTTTAAAATTTTCCATACTATAAATGAAACTTTTATAATTTGTAAAGCTGTTTTCCAACTCTTCTCTCTCTCTTTTTATCTTTGATTTTTTTGGTTGTTTATGTTTTTGTTTTGTTTTTTGTGTGTTTTTTTTTGTTTTTTAAAGGTTTTTTTTAAGATTTATTTATTTTGTTTAGAGTGAGAGAGACCATAAGCAGGGGGGGAGGGACAAAGGGAGAGGGAGAGAAGCAGACTCCTCACTGAGTAGGGAGCCTGACACAGGGCTCGATCTGAAGACCCTGAGATCATGATCTGAGCCAAAACCAAGAATTGAACACTTAACCAACTGAGTTGGTTTGTGCCCCTATGTTTTTGTTTTTTAAATCAACACGTGTTTCCAGGTGTGTTCTTTGTGGCATCTGCATACATGTTTATTTGTTTCTATAGATCTAAAGTTACTGAAGTAGAGTAGAAAACATTAATTACACAGTATGTCTGTATTGCAGCTGATTGTACCCACTGGGACTTCATTCAGCAACCTTACTGGATCTTTTGCGTTTTGGTCACATTACACAAGTTCCAACATATTTCCTCTATGAAAATCTTTGCTTCATAAGCTATGCTATGTTGGAATATACTTTTGGTTGTTATGATTTAAGACAAAAAATATTTTTAAAGATAGATAAAGAGCAATCATGGTCTCTTACACTTGAAAAAATATTTTCTCTTTTTTTATAATACTTTGCCTCTGCCCATTCTTCTGGCTCTTTGGCTTCTTCTTTGAAAGAAATATGGTGATTGTTACTGAATGATTTTAAATGGGATGAGGAATCTAACACTGACTATGGTTTTCAGTCCAAAATGTTTATTTATTGATGGTTATGGTATATATAAGTATAAATTTTAGATTTCATTCTATATGATAAATGTAGGCATATCTTAACTAGACTTGACAGATCTAGGTTAGAATAGAGAGAATCTTCTCCCTTCCCTAATCAAAATCAAACTAATTCAGAATTTATGAGACTACAGACCTCCAATGAAGCACAAGTGTCATATTCATTAAAAAGCAAAACTGTAGAAGCTAGGCACAGACATGGCCAGTTTGACTTTGACATTCAACTAATGACGTTTTAGGTAGAATGCCCTCCTAGCTGGGAATATCTTGGATATATGTAGCTAATTTGTGTCATGGAACTATTTAATTATATGTGAATAATCCCATCTTCTACCTTCATTGAGCACTTTGCCCGGGAATTGGAGGCTGCTTCAGCCTTTAAGCAAAAAATGGAATTATGTAGGGATAAAGCCAGTGGCTGTGCATTTTCTATTCTGTCTTTTGAGAGAATCATATGGTTATCGATTTCAGGGTGAAGGCTGACTCTCCCGAAGACCCCTGCTGTTTTCCTGAGCTACCAAAGGAACTCTGTTTAAATGAATGGTTTTGTTTGGGGTAGATAGTTGGCAGATTGAGAAGCAGTGTGTTTATTTCATGGTGGATTGGTGATGCAAATCTCAGTACCATTGTATTATGTAGTATTGTTACCCAGCCTGTGTGTTTAATAACACATTCTTCTTTGTAGGATTATCCAGATGTTATAGACACTCCTATGGACTTCAGCACTGTGAAAGAAACTTTGGAAGCAGGAAATTACGGTAGTCCTCTGGAATTTTATAAGGACGTTCGCCAAATATTCAGCAACTCCAAAGCTTATACCTCTAATAAAAAGTCAAGGGTATGAAAAAAACAATATTAGGTGGATTAATTACTTAAGCATTTACATATATATGTATATCAGGTAGTTTTCTTTCATCACTTTTAAAACTAGTAAAAAGGTATATATTACAGTTCTGCCATGGTTACTGATGTTTGATATTTTCCTTATGTTTTGTCAGAACTTAAATATCTTAAGAACAAAAAATTATAATATTTTTGGGTTTTTGTAATCACTGGTATCTGATTAACTTTTAAATCAGTTGTGCACTAAATATATACTTGCCCACTTTCACCTCATATAAGTGAATTTTCGCTAATTTCTGCAGGCATAATTTTTTCACTTTTGGTTTACTTCCTACATATACACTTACATATGTTTATATACTATTTGAAACTGTAAGTTTCATATTTTGAAGCCTTTTTTCAGCTTATATATTATGAACATTTTCCCATGTCATTATGACTCTTTGAAAACAGTTTTAATGTCTCCATAGTATTCTATTGTATGGTTGTTTTATGTTATTTAGCCAGTGCCCTGGTGCTTGAGATTTAGGTGGTTTCTAATTTTTAACATTACATGAATAATGCTGCGGCTTTCATCTTTAACATCTTTGAACATAATTATTTTGTGTGTGCAATTCTCTGATATATACCTACAATAAATTCCCAGAAGCAAAATTATTACTGAAAGGATAGATATATTTTTAATATTTTTGGTACATAATGCAAATTGTTGTTTTAGAATCTTGTTCCAGTTAAAATACTCACTGGCAATATATAAGAATGTTTTTCCTACCCTTCCCAACATTGGATATGATCTTTTAAAAATCTTTGTTAATTTCTAGGTTAAAATGATATCTTATTTTACTTATTTAGGAAGAGTTTTTCAAGTGTATGAAATTGCACTATATTTTGTCTGAAAGGATAATGCTGATACTATTCCAGGCATATTCATACTTTTTATTTTCATATAATTAAAGTAGTTGCTTTTTACCTTTTCAGATCTATAGCATGACACTGCGATTATCTGCCTTATTTGAAAATCATATTAAAAATATCATCTCTGAATATAAGTCAGGAATGCAGAGTCAGAAGAGGAGAAGGCCACGGTACAGAAAACGTCTAAGAAGCAGCAGCAGTTCATTATCTAGTAGCAGAGCTCCTAGGTATGTTACACTGATGTAGAATTTTATGTTTTAAGGCATTTTATATATATTACCTCATTTCTTATTAAAGTTTATTGAATAGTTTGAGAAGATCCAAAGATCAAAAAGATTTTTGAAGAACTCTTGTACTTGTGTAAAGATGGAGTTGGTAACCCAAAGCTTTGTTTATGTGGATTTTATTATGCCAAAAACTATTTTTTTTTAGTTTTAACGATTGAAATTTAACTTTGTCATATTACCAATTTGAAGCATTTCACTTAAATTATAAGGCATTTCTTTGGTCAACTTAAGCATTTTGTATCATACTGTCTATCATAATATGTTGCTAATAGAAAAAAAATGTTCATTGTTACATATTTTAAATTGTAGTCCCAAAGGGAAGCAGAAACAAATGAAGTTGCAGCCTAAAATTGACCAGAATACCTCAGTGTCTTATGCAAGGACTAGCTCTCCTTTCTCGTCTCCCGGTAAATGTCTTTTGTTTTTAATGTTCTATATTTCAGTTTAATATTGATATTAAAGATGTAGAAGAGGCAGCATGATTTATAGTACAAAGAGCAATGGATTTGGATGTAGAAAAGTTGTATTTTATTCCCAATTCTTCTAACTGTGTGGCCCTGGGTAAGACATTAGGCCATAGAATTCAGTTTCTTCATTTTTAAAATGAAAGTGTTGAGACTAGCTGAATTTTAAAGTCTCTTAGTTTTGGGAGTCCTGGGTGGCTCCGTCGGTTAAACATCTGCCTTTGGCTCGGGTCATGACCCCGGGGTGCTGGGATTGAGTCCCATATCTGGCTCCTTGCTCAGTGGGTAGCCTGTTTCTCCCTCTGCCTGCTGCTCCCCCTGTTTGTGCTCTCTCTCTCTCTGACAAATAAATAAAATTTTAAAAAAATTAAAAAATAATAAAATTTAAAAAAATAAAGTCTCTTATTTTTAAAATTCTGTAACTATAATTTTTAACTCTGGAATATCTCAGAGCACTCATTTATAACATATTTGCAAACACAAAAATTGAGGATTCGTTATCTGGGGAGGTGGTTTTCTTGGACAAGTTTTTCTGACCTTCTGTGCTTAAAAACCTAATGATGTGATGAAATATTTGTTCTCAATATATTCATAGTTCCCTCTTCAAACAATTTTTCTGAAAACATGATAATTATGTTAATATTACAGTCTTTTTAAATACAAGTTTCAGATGCTGCTGAAGGCCTTTCATTATATTTACTTGATGATGAACTGGATGGGCCATTTTCTTCATCGAGCTTCAGTGGATATAGCCGAAGTGGAAATAGCCATGACCCAGGGAAAGCCAAATCATTTCGGAATAGAGTTTTACCAATTAAACAAGGTAGGAAATAAATATGGACTGGGCATTTATTCTTTGTTCTCTTATGTTGGCAGATGAGTCATTTAAAAGCTGATGTATTTACGTAGTAAAAATTAGCAGGCACTGATAGTTAATGACAATTTTAATGTTGTCAAATAAACTTGAATAAGATAGGGTTTCATATCCACAGTCGGGAACAGGCCATTAGCAGATTCCAATAACTATCTCAAAACATATTTTAGTCTTTTAAAATAAAATATGAAATGAATAGGGAGGAAAAGAGATATTTCAAACCAAACCCTTTTTTAAAATTGAGATAGCCCTTAAAAATATAAGACCTACCTAAAGGTGATTTTGGAATGTTTTTCCTTTGTTATTAATAGTTTAATATGTGAAATATGTTTTTATTTTTTATAAATTTTAATGAAAGATTAAGTAGCATATCCATTTTTGTTGAACTATCAAATGACTTAAAAATGGACTTTCTAAAGATATATTTTAATTGGTTGTATGAAAAATATTGAAACATTTGATTACTTTAAAATATTAGTACCTTTATTTTTCCTAATTTGTATCTTTATTCTCTTCTCTGATCGTGCTGCACATTGCTGACTCATGCCACTTTCTTCTCTTTTATCCTCCCCTTCACTGTCAAGCAATTAGAAAGAATAGCTTATATTTCTTACTTTTATTTTCTTTCCATCTAAAACTTCCTTTATCCTTTATTGTCTGGCTTCTGACCCCAGCATTCTCCAACTGTTCTCCCCAGAATCACTTGTTCTCTTTAGTAACCAATCAATGTTCTTTCCTTAGTCCTTATCTCCTTGATTTTCTCTATCTTTACATACTATTAAATACCCCCTCTAGGAACTCTCCTGCCAGGCTTCCTTCCTGATTATCCTACATCTCTGTTTTTCTCATATTTCTATATTTTCTGTTTCTTTTCTTTGGCTGTACTTACCTCCTATTTGCAGAGTTTCCCACAGGTTTCTTGATTTGTTTGTTTGTTTTAGGCTTTTTTTTTTTTATTTTGGTCATCTACAAATAATCTAATAAATTTATCATTCATCTTTATGTTGGTGACTCTCCAAATTCACATATCTAGCCCTAACATCTCTTTATTCTACCAGTCTCATTTCCAAGTGCTTCCTAAGATAATTTCCTTGGGTGCTTATTATCCATCGTTCTGTCTCAAGCTTACTTCTATTTCTGCACTCACTATTTTAGTTAATGCCACCACCATCTTCCTAGTCACCCAACTTAAAATCTTGCAGTGTACTTAGACACTTCTTTTACCCCTCATATCTAGTTGGTTGCTAAGTTTTGTGAATTCTAAAGCTCTTTTATACAACTTAAATCCTTTGTCTACAGTTTCTATTGCTATCACCTTAGTCTCTAGCCTACTATATTAGTCAGCTTAGGCTGTTAAAATATGATACTGCAGACTGGGGGGCTTAAAAGCAGATGTTTATTTTTAACAACTTTATTGAGATATCACTGACATATAAAATACTGTATATATTTAAAATGTGCAACTTGATGTCTTGATATATATATACATTGTGAAATGGTCACCACAATCAAACTAATTATAACATATCCATCACTCTACATAGTTACCCTGTGTGTGTTAAAAGTTAAGATCTCTCCTTTTAGCAAATTTCAAGTGTACAATACAGTATTATCTATAATCACCGTGCTGTACCTTAGATACCCAGAACTTACTCATTCTGAATAACTGAATCTTTATACCCTTTGACCAGTGTCTCCCCAATTCCTCTTCCTCCAGCCCCTAGCAACCACCATCCTACTCTCTGTTTCTATGAGTATGACTGTTTACAATTATATATATAAGTGACATGCAGAATTTCTCTTGCCCTGTCTTCCTCATTTTGCTTAGCATAATGTCTTCCCAGCTCTGAACACGTTATCACAAATGGCAAAATTTCCTTCTTTCTAAAGTCTCAGTAATATTCCACTGTGGGGTGTGAGTGTGTGTGTCTGTATGTGTGTGTATTACATTTTTTTACATTCATCTCTGGAAAGACATATAGATTATTTCCATATCTTGGCTATTGTGAATAATGTTACTGTGAACATGGGAGTACAAATATCTCTTGAAGATCCTGATTTCCATTCCTTTGGATATATATCCAGAAGTGGGGTTACTAGATCAAATGATAGTTGTATTTTTAATTTTTTGAGGAACCCCCATAAATATTTCCATAATGGCCATACTAATTTTCCCTTTTCTCCACATCCTTGCCAACAACTGTTATCTCTTGTCTTTTTTTTTTTTCAAAGAAAGAGAACTTGGCCAGTAATATTTATTTCTGTAGAACAAGGTGACTGTACAAAAAGACCACCACAGGACCATGTGCATCAGACATTTCCCATGCTCTGCATTTCCTCCCTCAGGAGCACTGTGCATGAGACCTGGGAAGGATGAGGGGTGCTGGTGCAGGGTGCCGATGGAGGATGGCAGAAAGAGGACATAGACATGTGGTGTCATGCCCACAGCCACATTGGATGCTGTCCTTTCTTAAAAAGTATTTTGAGGGTGCCTGGGTGGGTCAGTTGGTTAAGCGGCTGCCTTCTGCTTGGGTCGTGATCCCGGGGTCTTGGGATCGAGCCCCACGTCAGGCTCCCTGCTCAGTGGAGAGCCTGCTTTTCCCTCTCCCTCTGCCTGCTGCTCTGCCTACTTGTGCGCTCTCTCTCTCTCTGTCAAATAAATAAATAAATCTTTTAAAAAATAGTAGAGCCAACAGAATTTTTAAAAAAAGTATTTTAAATCCAGTTAGTTACCATACACTGTTATATTAGTTTCAGATATACAATATGTGATTTAACAGTTACATACATCACCTGGTACTCGTCACGACAAGTGCACTCCTTAGTCCTCATCACCTATTTAACCCATCCCCCCACCCGCCTTCCCTCTGGTAACCATCAGTTTGTTCTCTATAATTAAGAGTCTGTTTCTTGATTTGTCTCTCTCTCTTTTCTTCTCTTTGCTCATTTGTTTGGTTTCTTAAATTCAACATATGAGTGAAGTCCTATGGTATTTGTCTTTCTCTGACTGACATATTTCACTTAGTGTATTTATTACTCTCCAGCTCCATCCATGTCGTTGCAAATGGCAAGATTTCATTCCTTTTATGACTGAATAATATTCCACTGTGTGTGTGTGTCTGTGTCTCTGTGTGTGTGTCTGTGTGTGTGTACATGTACCACATCTTCTTTATTCATTCATTATTCAGTGGATACTTGGGCTCCTTCCATACCTTGGCTATTGCTGATAATGCTGCTATAAACACAGGGTGCATGTATGCCTTTGTAATAATGTTTTTCTATTCTTTGGGTAAATATGCAGTAGTGTGATTGCTGGATCATAAGGTAGTTCTATTTGTAGCTTTTTGAGGAACCATAATGTTTTGCACAGTGACTATACCAGATTGCATTCCCATCAGCAGTGCAAGAGGGTTCCATTTTCTCCACAACTTCGCCAACACCTGTGTTTCTTGTGTTGGTGATTTTAGACATTCTGACAGGTGTGATGTGGTATCTCATTATAGTTTTGATTTGCATTTCTCTCACAGGAAGTGATTATGACCATCTTTTCATGTGTCTGTTTGCCATCTGGATGTCTTGATGTCTTCCTTGAAGAAATGTCTGTTCATGTCTTCTGCCCATTTTTAATTAGATTATTTGTTTTGGGGTGTTGAGTTTTGTAAGTTCTTTATATATTTTGGATACTAACCCTTTATCAAATATCACTTGCAAATACCTTCACCCATTCAGGAGGTTGCCATATAGTTTTCTTGATTATGTCCTTCACTGTGCAGAAGGTTTTAATTTTGATGTAGTCCCAGTAATTTATTTTTGCTTTTGTTTTCCTTGACTCTGGAGACATATGTAGTAAGAAGTTGCTACAACCAATGTCAAAAAGGTTACTGCCTGTGTTCTCTTCTAGGACTTTCATGGTTTCAGGTCTCACATTTAGGTCTTTAATCCATTTTGAATTTGTTTTTATGTATGTTTTCAGAAAGTGGTCCACTTTCTGTCTTTTGCATGTTGCTATCCAGTTTTCCCAACACCAGTTGTTGAAGAAACTGTCTTTTCCCCATTGGATATTTCTTCCTACTTTATTAAAGATTAATTGACCATATAGTTGTGGGTTCATTTCTTGGTTTCTATTCTGTTCCATTGATCTGTGTTTCGATTTTTGTGCCAGTACCATACTGTTTTCAACACTACAGCTTTGTAATATAGTTGAAGTCTAAAACTGATGCCTCCAGTTTTGCTTTTCTTTTTCAAGATTGCTTTGGCTATTTGGGGTCTTTGTGGTTCCATACAAATTTTAGGATTGTTCTAGTTCTGTAAAAAAGGCTGTTGGTATTTTGATCAGGATTGCATTAAATGTGTAGATTGCTTTGGGTACTATAGACATTTTGACAGTATTTGTTCTTCCAATCTATGAGCATGGAATGTCTTTCCATTTCTTTGTGTCATCTTCAATTACTTTCATCAGTATTTTGTAGTTTTCAGAGTCCAGGTCTTTCACCTCTTTGGTTAGGTTTATTCCTAGGTATCTTATTATTTTTGGTGTAATTATAAATGCAATTGTTTTCTTATATAGAAATGAAGCAGATTTCTGTACTTCAGTGTTTTTATCCTGCAACTTTAATAAATTTGTTTATCAGTTCTAGTAGTTTTGTGTATGTGTGTGGAGTCTTTCAGGTTTTCTCTATACAGTATCATGTCATCAGCAAATAGTGAAAGTTTTATTTCTTCCTTCCCTATTTGGATGAATTTTATTTCATTTTGTTTTCTGATTGCTTTGTCTGGGACTTCCACTATGTTGAATAAAAGTTGTGAGAGTGGACAATCCTTGTCTTGTTCCTGACCTTAGGGAAAAAGCTCTCAGTTTTGCCATATTAAGGATGTTAGCTGTGGGTTTTTCATATATGGCCTTTATGATGTTGACGTATGTTCCCTCAAAACCTACTTTGTTGAGGGCT